GGCCGGCCGGCTGGGGCGCGCTGTGCTCGCCAACGCCTCGGGGCCCGCCAACGCCTCGGACCCCGCCTGGGACTTTGCCTCTGCGCTCTTCTTCGCCAGCACACTGGTCACCACCGTGGGTACGTGAGCGCCGCCCCAATCCCCAAGCCCTCGAGGACCCGGGACCCTCACCTCATCCCTGCCCCCAGGGGCACCCGGCGCCCTCAGGAGATAACCCTATCCCAGCGGATCGCTCAAAACCCTCAGAGAACCCGGGATCCACAGTCGTGGGACCCGCCCCCCTCGGGAAGCCCTTGTCTAAGCCTCTACTCCCAGCACGAAACCCCCAGCTTCCTCCAGGAGGAGGGCTGTACTCAGAGTATGTTCCAGGGAGCATCTGGGACATTATTTCTCTGCCTCAGCCCCCTTGGAGACCCGGGTCCGTCCAGTCCCCTCTGGGGCTAGGACTACCCTCAGAGACCTCCAGCAAGGACCCTGGACCTGAGACCCTTACCCTCTCTGGACCAGGACCTCAGCCACCANAAGCCTCTACTCCCAGCACGAAACCCCCAGTTTCCTCCAGGAGGAGGGCTGTGCTCAGAGTATGTTCCAGGGAGCATCTGGGACATTATTTCTCTGCCTCAGCCCCCTTGGAGACCCGGGTCCGTCCAGTCCCCTCTGGGGCTAGGACTACCCTCAGAGACCTCCAGCAAGGACCCTGGACCTGAGACCCTTACCCTCTCTGGACCAGGACCTCAGCCACCAAGGACCTCTGCCCTTCTCTCTGGGCTCCGAATGCCATCCCCTCCAACAATGTCTCCTGACTGACTGATGACATATATCCTTCCTGAACGCCCTTTGGGAAGTCCTACCCCAACCTCCTTCTGACCCTGGTGCCCAATGAGAACCCTGAATCTCCAGACCCCTCAGGGTGTCATCACTAAAGACCTTACTGCCAGGAGAGATCCCTCAGTGAGTACCTGGGGCCTCCCTCTGAGAGGTCGGCTTCTCTGGATCTAGACCACTCCCCTGCAAGGGGCCCTGCCCTCCTTCATCCCCACTCCCCAGCGGGTGAGCCCTGACTCCAGACACAGGCCCCCTCTCCACATACCCCACTCCATCTTAACATCTCCCCTGTACTGGGGAGCCCTCAATGCAGAGTTTTCTCCCAGTAGAGACACTGGTTTTCTCTGAACCTGGAATTTCCATTTTTAGCAGCCCTCAACTACATATGTGTGAGAGGGACCCACTGTGGAGGGAGTTGGATTACCGTCTGGAAGTCCCCTGGCCAGGACTCCCTCCCCTCCAATCCCAAAACTGACTCGAGCAAAACCCCTACTGCTTTCCAAGCCAGGGACTCCCCACAGGAGCCTCTTTCAACCTTTGAACCCCTCGTTGAGACTCTCACCACTCTCTGGACCCTGACACCCCTCAGCAAGAGCCCTCGGCCTCCTATCAGGGACCCCAGGGCCCTCCACACACACTGTTGGTGAGAGCAGAAACCCCCCCCGCCCCCACACACACACAGGATACCAGCGCAGGGACTCTGCTTTCTGCACCTAGTACCCCTGCCCTGAGACCCCCTGTGCCCAACCTGGATGTGCCAAGAAAGGGAATCTCCTGGGCTCCTGGAAACCTTCCAATCTCTAGGCCCACAGTGGGGAACTCCCTGTTTACTCCAATGCTGCCACAGCCTGTTTTGGATCCAAAATTCTCCCCTCCACTAAGGATGCTTCAGGCCCCCGGCATCCCAGAGCCCTCCAAAGTGTCTAGTCAAAACCATTACCACTTTCCACCCTTGACACGCTCAGGACCTGAGACACCCACCCCATCCCCTCACCCCCTTAGCATTGTCCACCTTCACCACGTCCTCTCAGCATCCTTGGGTTCATAACCCCCTCAGCCCGAGGATTCCCCTCCCAATCCTATTTGTGATCCAGAAAATGCCTCCACTGGTACTTGTCCGCTCTTTCCTCTGGACCCAGGATCCATTTCAAACCGGGACACTGGCCTCTGATTTCAGATCACAGACTCCCTAGGTCCCTTTCTCTGAAACCAACCTCCTCAAATGGGACCTACCACCTCCCCCAAAGCCCTACCTGGGAAATCCCTTCCCACCTCAGCCCCCAGCAGACCGGGGAAAACCCTGTTGTAAGGCTCTGCTGGTCCTTCCACATCCCTTCCCCCAAACTTCCTTCCTCTTCCTTCTCTTCGCTTGGAATTTGACCTGGGGGGCGGGGCTGGGGGAGGGCTGGGGCAGGCCTAGACAGACTCCTAACTCCTCCTCCCCGCCTGCAGTAGCCGGTGGCCTTTGCCTTTGGTGCCCCATTGTGTGGACCAGCAAACTGAGGCCATGGGCAGCAGGGCTGGACGCTCCTCTCACACTCTGTTCCGCTGGCTGGGCCTGCCCGAGTGGCTCCCGGGCTTCACTGGGTCACATGAGTATCTCCATCAACTTCCTCCCAGATCTTGGCTTCTGAGAAGTTGTCCCAGGCAGGACAGGAGAAGAAGCCAAATTCAAGGCAGGTAGTGCCTGGGTTCGAATCCCTGCTCAGCTGCCACTCAGCAAGAGGTCTCAGTGTCCTCCCTCATCCATAAAATTCAGATAATAACACTCCCCACTTCACAGAAATAGTAAAACCTGGTAGAGGACTTGCCACATGTGGCTTTAACTCAGCACAACAGCCTTGTGAGGCAGGTACCATTAGTGGCCCTATTTTTTTTTAGCAATACAAACTGAGGCCCAGAGACGCTGGGCACCCTGCCCAAGGACACACAGCTAGGAAGGTGTAAGAGTGGAAGTCTGAACCAAGGCCCTCAGGCCTCAGAGTCCTATGCTCTTTTTTTTTTTTTTTAAATGTATCTTTATTGATCTCAGAGAGAGGAAGGTAGAGGGGGAGAGAGATAGAAACATCAATGATGAGTCATTGATCCGCTGCCTCCTACACACCCCCTGCTGGGGATCAAGCCCACAACCAGGCATGAGCCCTGACCAGGAATGGAACCATGATCTCCTGGATCATAGGTCAATGCTCAACCGCTGAGCCACACTGGCCGGACAAGAGGATGTAACACTTTAAAATAAGGTAGTCTGGGAAGGCCTCACCGAGAAGGTGATATTTGAACAGAGACCCAGAGGAGCGGAGAAGGGATACCTGAAGGTAGGGTGTTCCACAGGGAAAAAACAGACAGCACAAAGGCCCGGGGGTGGAAGTGTACTTCCCTGCTTGATGGCGTGGCGCCTTGTGGGTCATGATGAGGACTTTGTCCTTTCACTTGAGTGGGATGGAGCCACAGAAGGGCACTGAGCAGAGAAGGGACGTAACTTAACACTGGTGTTCATAGCGTCCCTCCGGCTGCGTTGGGAGGGCAAACTGTGGGGGCAAGGGGTTGGTGGAGGGAGGCCTGGGAGGAGACTACCAGGGTAGACACGGGGGTGGGGTGGGGTGAAGTGGGTGGGTTTGGGATCTATTTGAAATTTGAGATGACAGAAAGTGGGTGTGAGTGATAGGGCAGTCAAGGATGTCCAGAGATAAGAGAAACGGGGGCAAGTTCAAGGGTAAAATTAGGTCTTGGTTTAGGGTGGCCACAGACCCCCACGTAGGGGTGCCAAGTGGGCAGAAGAATTTCCATTTTTCCCGCAGGTTATGGGTACACTACGCCACTGACTGACGCGGGCAAGGTCTTTTCCATCGCCTTTGCGCTCCTGGGCGTGCCGGCCACCATGCTGCTGTTGACTGCCTCTGCCCAGCGCCTGTCACTGCTGCTGACCCACGCGCCCCAGTCCTGGCTGGGCATGCGCTGGGGCTGGGACGCCCGGCAGGTGGCCCGCTGGCACCTGGTGGTTCTGCTGGCGATCGTGGTGACCACCTGCTTCCTGGTGCCAGCCGCAATCTTTGCCTACCTTGAGGAGACCTGGAGCTTCCTGGATGCCTTCTACTTCTGCTTCATCTCTCTGTCCACCATTGGCCTGGGTGACTATGTGCCCGGGGAAGCCCCTGGCCAGCCCTACAGGGCCCTCTACAAGGTCCTGGTCACAGGTGAGTAGGGTGGCTGGCTCCGGATCAAGGACGGGGACAGAGCCTTGTCCTGAAGGGCATGAGGGGAACCTGGCCTGTCTGAAGGGGAAGCTGAGGGTCACAGCCCCACCCTCGGGGGTCCGGTAGCCCCTTGGGCTGCCTGGGTTCTGAGTCTACCCATGGCCCCTCTGCTGTCTCTGCAGCCTACCTCTTCCTGGGCCTGGTCACCATGGTTCTGGTGCTGCAGACTGTCCGCCACGTGTCCGACCTTCATGGCCTCACAGAACTCATCCTGCTGCCCCATCCGTGCCCTGCCAGCTTCCATGACGATGAGGATGATCGGGTGGATATTCTAGGCCCCCAGTCAGAGCCACGCCAGCAACTCACCACCAGCTCCCACCCTGACTATGCCTCCATCCCCAGGTAGCTGGGGCAGGCACCTTGAGACTGGATGGACCACATGACTACAGCTGACATACTAGACCGTCATGGGCACATGCCAGTGCTTGTGAGAGCACTGCCACCAACTGTCCATCCTTTGTCGTACCTGCCCTGGGCTCCCCAAACACCTGCATTGCTTTGTTCTCCTGGCCCCTTCTCTCATCTCCCACACACTCTGTGCCTCTTTGGCTTCCTCACTGTCTGTCTATCCTTCTCAACATCTCTTTGTTTCTTACTCTTTTATTTTTAAACATATTTGCACACTTAGAGATATCTTCTCTTTTTTAATATATCTTTATTGATTTCAGAAAGAGGAAGGGAGGAAGAGAGAGAGATAGAAACATCAATGATGAAAGAGTCATCATTGATCGGCGGCCTCCTGCATGCCCCTGCTGGGCATCGAGCCTGAAACCCCGGCATGTGCCCTGACCGGGAATTGGACATAGGTCAATGCTCAACTGCTGAGCCATGCTGGCTGGGCTGTTTCTTTCTCTTTTATTCCATCTGCTTCTCTCAGGCTATGCTGACTCATTTCTCAGGCAAATGCCAGCAATATACATATGTGTATATGTGTGTCAGTTTTTCTTTCACTATACACAAGTGGTACCTAGTATGGTGAGGTGGTTACCATTACAGACTCTGGAAGCAGAGTCCCTGGGTATAAATCTGAACTCTGTCACTCCCAATCAGGGCAGGTGATTTTGTCTCCCTGTGCCTGAGTTTGCCAATCTGTGAAATGGGAGGATAACAGCACCTACCTCATGGACTTGTTAGAGGATTAAGCAATTTAATATCTGTAAAGCTCTTAGAACAGTGTCTGGTATTCATTAAAATGTTGGCTAATGATTATTATCACTTCTGTACTTGCTTTTTTATATTATATAAGTTATATAACACTATATATTTTTCAAATATTATTCTCATTTCTGCACCTTGGTTTTTTTCACCAACCCAGTGTAATTCATAGACAGTTCCAGAGACAAAAAAGTAGGCCTCATATCCTTTCTAATGTCTGCAGTGCCTCCTCTAGGACACACATCCCATAAATTATTCCAACATCTCCTTAATGGACATGTGGGTGGTTGGCAGTCTATGGCATAAAGGATGCTGCAAGGTGTACCTTGTACATCAAGGCTAACAGAGGCACCTCCCCCTCATGGGACTGTATTTCTAAGTAGGGGTGCCATGAGAAGACCACAATCTCTCTGACTCTCCTCCCTGGCCCATGGGACGGGCTGGGGGTGGGGAGTCTAGACATCCATCAGCTGTTCATTTACATAGAACACCTATTCTGTGTTGGACAAGGCTGGGAATAACAGTGACAGAGACGTCTGCAGTGCCTCCTCTAGGATGACAGCCCTGGGCCCTGTCATCCTGGAGCCTGTGATTCTATGGGAAACAAATGCTCATGGCNAGACGTCTGCAGTGCCTCCTCTAGGATGACAGCCCTGGGCCCTGTCATCCCGGAGCCTGTAATTCTATGGGAAACAAATGCTCATGGCCTAGTCTAGTGTGGTCAGGGAGGGATAGGAGCTGGTCATGAATCACAAAGACCCCAGGGAAAGAAAGTGGTAAGCCACTGACAAAGTAAAGTATCTCAGAAGGTGCTACAGCATGTGTATCCTGGAGGGCAGAGAGTGTGCCTCCTCCAGGAATTCAAGTTGCTCTGTGTGACTAGACTGCAGGCTACACAGGCCCATAGAGGGAAAAGAGATGAGCTGGAGAGGAAGGCCAACAAGCATGAAGTTATGCAGGGCCCTGGAAACCAACTTTGGAGGTTTCCCTGAGGCTCCAGGGAGTCCTGGAAGGTTTTAGAGCACTGGTTCTGAAAGTGTGGTCCCAGACCATCGGTATCAGCATCACCTGTGAGGGGGACCAAAGTTTACCTCCCCCAAATAAGCCTTTTGGGATACTGATTATTTCAACCTGGTTATTTTTAAGAAACAAAAGATAGAGGACCTGCTCCAAGAAGGGAGCTATCATCATAGATACTATAGTTTAATATGAACCAGGTGTGATAGACAGGGAGGAACCTAGAAAGGCTCATTTGATCAAAGTCATCTCTGTGTCCCAGTGTTAAACATGGCTCAGAAAACATTTATTTACCAAACATTTGCTTTCCATCTCCACGTGAATTGCCTTCCTGCCTTTGAAGTCCCAAACCATAACCCCCACCTCTCCTTAGCTCCAGAATGGCATATATATCTCAACTGCCCAAAGCCTCTTCGGATCTGCTGTCTTATGTACATCTGTACATCTGTAATAAACTTGTGATGTTTTCTCTTGTTAATCTGTCTCATATTAATTTGATCATTAGTCCAGCTAGAACTCAGAAAGGTGGGAGGAAATTTTATTTTTCTGCCCCCACACCTGGAAACTTGCTAGAAGTACAAGTTTTCCAGCCCGACCTCAGACCTCCTGAATAAAAAACGCTGGGGGTGGATCCCAACAACCAGTTTTAACAAGCTCTTCTGGAAAGTCTAATACTCGTTAAAGTTGGAAAATTACTGGTTTAACGTAAAGTCAGCTTTGCAGTTCATCAAAAAGTCATGCTCTGGCCCTAGTTGTTTGGCTCAGTGGTTAGAGTGTCAGCCTTCGGAATGAAGGGTCGGGGGGTTTAATTCGGGCCAAGGGCAGGTACCTGGGCTGCAGGCTCCATCCCCGGCCAGGTTAGGGTGACGTGAGGGAGGCAGCCAATCCATGTGTCTCACATCGGTGTTTCTCTCTCCCCCTTCCACTCTCAGAAAAGCAATGCAAAAAACATCCTCAGGTGAGGATTTAAAAACGTCATGGTCTGAGTGCTTAATGTTAGGCATCAAAATATAAACGGAAATTGTTAACTTACGGAATATTTGCTTGTACCAGGCAGTCTTCAAGTGTTCCCTTATTGACTTCCCACAACTCTACACGATGGCTGCCTTTGTTCCTGTTCTGTAGAGGAGAGTGTTAAGCTGCCTTCAGATTAATTCCCACAAGGAGACCAAACTTTTCTTTTCAGGTGTAGAATTTTTTATTTAAAAGCCTGATTGGGTAGGAGCGGGCGTAGGTATCACAAACTGTGTCTCCAGCACCCTCTGCCGGCCAGGCCCCGCGCGCCTGGGTGTTGAGCATTACCTTCCTTTCGCCCCCAAGCCCCGGGAGCCTGTTACCATGGAGACAGGCGTGCCGGCCCGGCCTGCCACGCCAAAGGCGGAAGTCGGTTGCGGAAGTGCGGGCGGCCATTTTGAGACCGGGAAAAGTGGGGCGGGACTGGAACGGCCCAGTGACGGTTGGCCGGTTTTACCTGAGAGACTGGTACCGAGGGGTGGGGAGAAAAGGGAGGTGCCTAGTACCATCCCACGGAAGGGGGAGAGGCAGGGAAAGGGCAGAAGCAGGGAAAGGGTGGAGAGTGGAGGGACGGGGCAGAAGAGGGACGGGGAGGAGAAAGGGCGGGGCGAGAAGCAGGGAGATGAGTAGAGGCGGGGCTAGAGGAGGCCGGGCATAGAGCCCATTATAGTCCAGGGCTTGGTAAGGGGTGGTGAGGAGAGGGGGCGGGACGAAAAGGAGTCGCGGTTCGGTGAGGTGAAGATCGAGGGGGTGCTGACCTACATGGTAGCCCCGGCGTGGAACGAGGAGAAGGTGCAGGGCGAGGAGGGTTCAAAAGGCAAAGAGAGAGTTTCTAGGAGGGGGCGGGGCCACGCGGGGCGGGGAGCAGGCTCTGGAGGTACGGCTGTCAAGGACCAGCGGAAAGAGAGCGTCGCTAAGGGGCACGTTGAAGAAAAGGGACCGAGCCCGAACCGATCAGAAAACAAGCTCTAGAAGAGAAACAGGCGGGGACAGGGGATGGGGCGTAGAGACGGTCCGAGACCGGGGGAGGGGCGGCGCTAGGCACAGGATCGGGTATGCAGGTAAGACCGGAGCAATGACAAAGTGGCAGTGCGAAGAGAAGTGGGCCTGCGGGACAAAAAGTGGGGGCGGGGCGAGGTATAGATGGGACGCAGCCAAAGCGAGAAACAGAATCCGAGAGCGGGTGAAGAGTAGGGGAGGGATGCAGAGCAAGCGCGGAGAAGAACGACGTGGAAGGTTAGCGGGAGAGAGGAGGAGGGGGAGGGAAACCAGGAGCAGGGGCGTGGCCGGGAGTGACGGCAGGGGCGGGACTTGGAGAAATAGCCCAAGTGGGGTCTCGCGTTCCCGCAGATGCAGCACCTGGGGAGGGAACGACGTCTGGAGCAGAGGCGGGACCCAGAGCAAGGGCAGGGGTGGGGTCAGAAGCCCTAGCAGAGGGGAGGCCTGGCGCAGGTGCGGGGCCAAAGCGCAGGAGGCGGGCGAAGCGCAGGGCAGAGGTGGGATCTCAGAAGACAGCCCTGGAGCGCAGTCTTGCCAGCTGGTGTTGATTCCCGCATTCTCCAGGTTCGAGCCACGCTGCGCACTGCCCCGCGATGAACACTGCTGCTGGCCCTGAGTGTCCGAGATTCCGAGTCCCGTGGGCGCTGTGGTCACTGCTGGTGCTATTGTCACCGGGGAGGCTGTGGGCTATCCATGATGAACCGAAGTGCACCTGGCAGGTTGTCCTGAACAAGTTCCAGACGGTAGGCAAGAACGACGGGAATGACCCCTTCTTCGATCAAGAGCTCGGGGACACAGTGAACAGCTTGTTTGACCTACTGGTGGCGATGCCTTTCCACGAGGAGGAGGTGAGAGGACTGGGGTCAGGCTTTCGGGAGAGGTCCTGGACCTGCACCCCACTGGGCTCTGGCCACTTGCCCAACCTCTCCTTGCAGTACTATATGGGCTTCCCTTACTACCTGAAGATCAACTACTCCTGCGTGGTAGAGGTGAGTGAGTGCAGCTGGAGGGGGCTCATTCTGTGTGAACCTCAGTTTTCCTATCTCTAACTTTTTAATGGTGGTGGCATCACCAACCCTGGGGGCGCCTAAGTATTCACAATGGCCAGTGCCCCACCAGGCACATAGTAGGTGCTCAAGTAAGCATTTTTTGTTTTTTGCCATTTAAAAATTTGAGAGCTAATTCACATACCATAAAATTAATCATTTAAAGTGTACAATTCAATAGTTTTAGTGTAGTCACAAAATTGTGCAACCATCACCACTATGTAATTCTAGAACATTTTCATCACCTCAAAAAGAAACCCTGTACTCCCACCCCTCCAGACCTGGAGACTACTAATCTACTTTTTGTCCCTATGAATTTCCTTATTCCAGACAGTACAATATGTAGCCTTTTGTATCTGGCATCTTTCACTTAGCATGTTTTTTTGTTTGTTTTTTAATCCTCACCTGAGGTTATTTTTTCCATTGATTTTTTTTTTTTTAATCCTCACCGAGGATATTTTTCCATTGCTTTTCAGAGAGAGTGGAAGGGAGAGAGGGAGAGAGAGAAATGCTGATGTGAGAGACACATCAGTTGGTTGCCTCCCGCACCCACCACGACCAGGCCAGGGATCGAGCCTGCAACCGAGGTACGTGCCCTTGGCCAGAATCGAACCCAGGACCCTTCAGTCCTTGGGCAGATGCTCTAACCACTGAGCAAAACCAGCTTGGGCGTATTTCCACTTTTTTGGGGCAGTTATGAATAATGCTGCTATGGACATTTGTGTACAGGTTTTTGTGTAAACATGTTTTCAGTACTTTGGTATACACTTAGGAACCGAATTGCTTGGTTATATGTTAACTCTGTGTCACTTCTGAGGAACTGGCAGATTGTTTTCCAAAGCAGCTGCACTATTTTACATTCCAATCTATGAGGGTTCCTGTTTCTCTTCATCCTCACCAACACTAGTCATTGTCCATCTTTTTTATTATAGTAACACTAGTGTGTGAAATGGTATCTCACTATGGTTTTGATTTTCAGTTCTGGGTGCCAGGTTCATTCCCACCATCATGATTTTACTTATCCCATGCTGCCCTTTTCTATGTATTCCCTGCATTCAAATTCTATCTGAAGACCTTGGCCATGGACTCACCTCCTCCAGGAAGACCTCCTGACTCCCTCCATGGTTCCTAGCCCCTCTGCCCCTCTTCTAGCCTGGCCTGTCCCCCACCCCAGCTCCAAACCTAGACCATGTTCTCTGACTTTCCCATGGTGGAGAGTCTGTTCTCCCTTTCCAGCCCAGGAAGACAGGCTACTAAAAGTGGGGTCAGGGCAGGGGGGCCCAGCGGTTATCTTAAGGACACACCTGTGGGGCCATCTCGCCCTCAGGCCTCCGAGGCTCAGGTCCGCAAGGGCTTCCTGACGGGGCTGAAGCCTATGGTGCTGGTCACCTTCCAACCCTCAGTTAACTTCAATCACTGGAAGTTAGAGCAGCTGCAGATCGAGATGGAGGCAGCCCCATTACGCAGCAAAGGTGGGCTGAGGGGTGCCTGGAAGGGTCATAAACCTGACAGGAGCAGGGGAGGGATTGCTGGGGGCCTCAGAGAGGTTCATAACTTGGAGGGGGAGGCTGGGGTCATCAGAGGGGTCCATGACCTGGTGGGAATGTGGGGTTTGTTGGGGGCCCTCAGTGGAGGAGGGCATGGGGAGGAGGTCTTAGCAGGTTCCATGGCCTAAATGGGGCTACACAAAGGGGTTCATGACCTGGAGAAGGACATGGGGAGTTGCAGGGGGATCCCAGCCACCTCAGTGCCCCCTGCTTACCAGCAGAGCACTGCAATGAAGAGGAGATGTGTACCATGAGCTGGTACACGCCCATGCCCCTCAAGAATGGCAGCGTGGTCATGTATGTGGATATCAGCAGCAATGGCCTCGGGCCCTTCATCCCCAGTAAAAGGTGCCCTTCCCCATGCCTGTGGTAGGGGGTAGACTGGGAGGGACTTCCTCATATCCAGATTCCCTAAGAAGCCAGGAGGAGACCAGTGGGAGGGAATAAGTTGGGGAGAAGACTGTCAGCTATGGCAGGAGCCCCTGAAACCAGAACCTTCGCATGTACCTGCCTCACACCTGCTGCCAGGTTTCAGGTGAATATCAATGGCTTCCTGAAGAGAGGGGAAGACAAAAGACCCAAGTTCACTGTGGGAACCGAGGTAAGGGGCCCGGACAGTGGAAACTGTAGAAAACATGGATTAAAGACAGTTGGCTGGGGCTCTGATTACTTCCCACACAAGTGGCAGGCTCCACTTTAAGGGTGCTTACTTTGTGCCAGGCCCCAGATGAAGTATTCTGCTAAACACACAATCACGCTACAGTCTTCACACTGACCCTGTGAGGGGAGGTACTCTTACACACCCATTTTAGAGAGGAGAAAACTGAGGCCCCAAAGGGATGGAACCATTTGTTCAGTCTCTCAGCATGTACATATGGACTTGAAACTATGTCTGCCTGACTCTTGCACCCATATTCTTAATCACAGTGCATTCATTCATTCATTCATTCATTCATTCATTCATTCATTCAGCAGGCTCTTACTGAGCACACAGGGCAGCCCTGTGGGAAGAAAACAGTGAACACACAGACCCAAGTCCCTGACCTCTTAGAGCTGACATTCTAGTGGGAGAGACAGACAGCAAACCAGTACACATGAGATCAAGTACATTCCATAGCAGGCTAAAAGGCGGAGGGTGCTCTGGATGGAATTCAGACAGAGTGCGGAGATCGGCTCTGCGCAGGAGGGGACTACAGTGTTTGATGGAATGGTCAGGGAAGGCAGAATTGAGAAGGTTGACATTTGAGTAAAGCCTTGAAGGAGGAGAGGAGGGAATCATGCAGATCCTAGGGGAAGAGCATTGCATACAGAGGGAAGAGCCAGTGCAAAGGCTCTGAGATGGGAATGTGCCTGGTCAGTCTGAGAAGCAGTGAGGAGGCTCATGTGTCTGGGAAAGAGTGAGCAAGGGGGAGAGTGTGGGGGGATGAGGTCAGAGAGGTATGTGGGAGCAAATTGCGTGGGGCTTTGTGGGTCAGGGAGAAGACTTTGGCTTTTATCCTGAATGAGATGGAGCCATGGGAGGGTGGGGGATGTTGAGCAGCCCTCCTTCCCCTCCCCTGGCAGCACTTCAATCTGAGACCCCAGTACTTCGTGAAAGTCCCGTCAAGGCCTCTGTGGTACACTGTGGGCCAGGCACCTGTGCTCATCCTGGGGGAAATTCCTAAGGAGAAGTACATTCTGCTAACTGACTCCAGCTTCAAGGACATTTTTCTTGTGGAGGTGAGAGGTGCAGGGCAGATTGTGGGCTGGGGCCCCTTGAAAGGTGCTGGCCCTCAGCCCCTAAAATGGGTTGCAGCCTGGGCCTATGGAGGGGGCCCCCAAAGACATACCCATCCCCACATGAGGCAGATAGCATGAAGGAAGGACATAAGACTCTGCAGCCAGACAACGTGGGTTCAAATCCTGGTTCTGCTACTTAGTCTTTTTGTATCCCATTTAGTGTTAATATTCAGATTCTGCCCTGCAGAAATCTTAGGTGTTTGATTATGGGGTGCTGCCCCAGGCCCCACTCTGAACCTGGGGAGGGATGAAGGGAGGGAGGGAAAAACATCAATGTGAGAGAGACACATCAATTGGTTGCCTTCCTCATGTATCCCAACCTTGGCCAGGCATTGAGCCTGCAACCAGGTATGTGTCTTTGGCCAGAATGGAACCCAGGACCCTTCACTCTGCAGGTTGATGCTCTAACCACTGAGCAAACTCAGCTAGGTCTAACATTTATAATACCCAGAAAAGTTAGCAATAACTCCTTATTATCATATAATCTAATCATAGTCAATTTTTTCCAATTAGCTATAAATGTCTTTTAAAGTTGCTTTGTTTGAGTCAGGATCAATACATGGCATTTGATTGTTAAATCTCTTAAATCCCTTCTCACCTGTAAGTCTGCTCCCCACCCTTGTCTCCTTCCAGCCCCCTTTTTTCAAACAGTTTAAGAAACCGGGCCTTTTGTCCTATAGTATTTGGCTGCTTACTTTTTCATGGAATCAGTTCACTGTTCCTCTAACCCTGTGTATTTGTCAGCTCAAGCTGCCCTAATAAGGTACCACAGCCTTGGGGGCTTAAACAAAGAAATTTATATTCTCACAGTTCTGGAGGCTGGAAGTCCAAGCTCAAGGTATCAGCAGGGTTGGTTTCTGATGAGACCTCTATCCATGGCTTGCAGAAAGTGTCTTCTCTCTGTGTCCTTACATGGCCTTTTCTCAGTGTGCGTGAATGGAGAGAGAGAGATCTCTGGTGTCCCTCTTCTTATAAGAACACCAATCTAATAAGATTAGAGCCCCACCCTTATGGTCTCATTGGACCTTAAATATCTCCTTAAAGGCCATATTTCCAAATATAGTCACACTTAGGGGTTAGGGCTTCAACATATTAATTGGGGAGGGGAACATAATTAGTTCATAATACCCCATATTGCCAATAAACTGGTAGTGAGCTCTAGAAGCTTGATTAAATTTAGATTCAATCTTTTAGGCAAGAGCCTTGCATTGCTGGTGCTTTCCCACTGTTGGCGATATTGCCAGTGTCCTTGATCAGTCAGTAAGTTCAGATAGTGTCAGTCTGACAGCCATCTGTGTTCCTGTTAGAGTAGGATTATTAAAAATGTGCATCAGGCAAAGCATTGGGTCTTTTGGATTCATGCGGGCACAACCCTCAGGGACCACTGAATATGCTGTGCACTGTTCAAATTTGGGTAACACACAAAGCCCCAGGCTCCTGCCTGGCTCACCTGCTTCCTTTGACCATGTTGGGGAAGTTTGGCCACTAAGGTGCTGCTGCAGGATGAGCAGGGAGGGCATCCTGGGGGCAGCTGCATGTGTCCATCCCAAGCAGTTGTCAGATTAGGAGCCTCCTCCCAGGGCAGGATGCAGGGCTGAGTCCAAGGCCACCCGCTTACCGCTGGCTGTACTCCTCTGCAGTTGAGCATTGACAGTTGCTGGGTAGGCTCCTTTTACTGCCGCCAATCCAAGTTCACTGCCACCATCTACGACACCATCGCTACAGAGAGCACCCTCTTCATTCGACAGAACCAGCTCGTCTACTATTTTACAGGCACCTACATCACACTCCATGGGAGCCACAACTATGGCAGCGGTGAGGGGCTTGTGGCTGGATCACATGCCTAGGGGTCCGTGGCATCTTGGACAAGGGAACTGCCTGTTGGAGCCCCAGGGGTTCACCTGAGTGAACCCATCCACTCACTGTATTACCTGAGGCTGGTATTTCCGTGGGTGGGGAGGCGGGTGTTGAAGGGCCTCTCCAAGGTCCTGAATCATCCTGCCCATCCTGCAAGGCTGTCTCCCACTCTCTCTCTGCTGGGGTAGGGCCTTCATCCAGACCTTCCCAGGAACTGGGAACCAGCTGAGGGAAGAGGGAGGTTGAGGGTGAAGGGAGAGAGAGAAAAAGTCACACTCATGCACATGCGGGCACACACTCGCAGACACATAGTCATACAGACAGAGTGTCAGAAAGACAGAGACAGGCATACGGAGAGGGGCATACTGAGAGAGGAATTGGGGGGTGGGTGCGGAGAGGCATAAGGGTTGGAGAGAAAAACACAACCAGGAAGATGTTGATTTCACACATAGATCTAGGGACTTACTGTAGCTGATAGGCTCCTCCTGTGGTGGCTGTGGTGACTCCCTGTTCACCCAGCAACTGCAGACTTTTATACTCTCAGAAACCTTGGGAAAGAGCTTCTTTTTGTTAGTGGTTGCAAGCTGGAACTGTCTCTGATTTGCTCTGCTGGTAACATACCCAGCTCGGAACCAATGGCTCTGGCCAGGGGAATGCAAGAGAAGAGTCAAGCCCAATCAGAACCTCCTGGACAGAATGTGAGCCAGGAGGATTTTCTCAAAACCAGCTGGGGCCCTGTGCCAAGGCTCTCTTGGTCAGCACACTGAGCAGCTGCTCCAGGGGGAGATGATGATAACAGACTCATTACGGCCAAGGGAATGTGGGCGGGGGCACAGTCCAAATGTCTGGGCCTGAGGCCCCGTGCTGGCCCCCACAGAGAGCTGGGTTCGTGTACTGTCCAGCGAGTGCATCAAGAGGCTGTGCCCCGTGGATTTCCATGGCAATGGCTCCGAGTACATTATAGCCCTCACTGCTGGGAAGCACGAAGGTTACCTCCACTTTGGGACCATCTCAGGTAAGGATGGAGGCCTCTGGCAGCCCAAGAGACTCCTCCATGCCCTCTCACCTCCAAGAATCCTGACCTTAGGCTCTCACCCTTCACCATGTGCCTTCAGAAGGAATCCCAGGCTGGAGGCTGGCCCTGTGAGTGGGGATGGGTTTAGGCATTTGTAGGGATAGTGCCTGGGGTATATTATATATCTTGCATTATATGTTTGATTTCAATGGGCAGAAGTCCAATTCAAAAATCATTTAGGCATAAAATGTGGACTTATAAATGAAAAGACAAATTGACAACTTCAGACATGGCTGGATCCAGGAGCTCACAGGGTATATCGTCAAGACTCTGTCTATCTCTTGGTAAGGTAGTATAGCATAGCAGGTCTAGAGAGAGACTGCTCCAACACTCCCAACCTACTCAGTCACCTGTTTTAGACGCATGACTTAACCTCTCTTTTTGGCCTTATTTCATTAGAAAAATGGTGCTAATGATACTACTAGTACCTCCTTCATTGTGTTGATATAAAGATTAAATAGCCCAGCCTGTGTGGCTCAGCAGTTGAGCATCAACCTATGATCCAGGAGATCGATGTTCTATTCCCGGTCAGGGCACATGCCCGGGTTGCAGGTTTGATCCCCAATGGGGCATGTGCAGGAGGCAGCCGATCAATGACTCATCATTGATGTTTCTATATCTCTCTCCCTCTCCCTTCCTCTCTCTGAAATCAAAGATATTTTAAAAAGAAAAAAAGATTAAACACATTGCCATCTGTAAAGCTCTTAGAACAGTGCTAGGGACACACTGAACGCTAGAAAAGGGTTTATTATTATGAGCCCTGTGAGTTAGCTTCATTTTCAGGTAGATAACTCCTCTTGTGGGGGTTAAGGAGGGCTCCCAGGAGCTTGAGGATCTCCCACCCCCAGGGTGTACCCTGATTGGCAGATTCTAGGTCTCGTACCTAGACCTGAGCCAATTACTTTGACTAGAGACAGACACAGATAGGCCAGGTATGAGTGACTGAATAGCCAGGGGGTGAGACCTGTCCCCTGGAATCCGTAGGCCTATGGAGCGGCTGGGGAACGGGCATTCCTCTGTGGTGGGGTGCCTGTTGGGCTGAGAATGGAAGGGGCCTGAACATGGACCTGCCCTGCTCCGCAGATGGCAAAGTTTCCTTCGAGATGCTGCCCAGGAAGCAGTCCGTGTGCAGAGAGTTACAAGGTACCCATAGCTCAGATGGGTCTGCAGTGGGCGGGTGTGGGGATCTAGGGTATGGGAGAGCAGGGGAGAGTGGGAGAGGTCACGGGTAAGGGAAAGGAAGGGCAGTGTCGTGGAGAGAGGTGGAGAGTTACAGGGATGGGATGGGGTGGCAGTCACCAAGAGGGAGGAAGTGATCAAGAGAGGCCGGGTGGGGGGCTGCTCTGACCTTCCCTTCCAGTTACCATCTGCTCCATTACCTGGGCTATATACATTGAGAATGAACAGAATCTACTGCTGCTGGTGGAGATAGAAGACATTTTTTCCAGGAAGTCTTCCCGGGTGGTCCGCTACAACCTGAGTAATTGGGGCACTAGGGGTGGACAACAGGAGGGAAATGTTGCTCATGTCACTCCTGGGTAAGGGGTAGTGACGGAGAACAGGGTTGGTGGGCTGGAGAAACTGAGAGCAAGTCAATGTGCCTGGAACAGAGCTGGAAAGGGAAGGGAGGGAGATTGAAGAGGTGAGCAGAAGCCAGGTCTGGAAAGGCCTGTGGCTTCCAATAAGGAGACTTGGTTTTATTTTACCTAAACCGAGAACAGGGTGTCACATGTGGTTGTACAGGCTGTGCACTGCTCAGGAGAGCGAGCCGGAGGAGGCAGGTCCTGTGCCCTAACAGGACTGTATCTTCTCAGAGGCAGTGCCTTTGTATAATTTCCATAAAGAAACAAAAAGGGCCAAGAGTCCCAAATGGGAAGCCAGTGGAGGGTGTTTGGGAGGAACTGGGAAGCTGGTGCCTTGCCCAGTCTCCGGTTTGTGAAAGCGCAGGTCCTCAGGCGATTTTGCTGTGTTCTCCCCTGTAGTCACTGATTACCTGGCCATCCTCTACACCATCCCAGAATTCATTCCTGATGGTAGGATGGGGAGGCAGAGGGGGGTCAAAGGAGGGGGGGCAGGAGGGGCCCAGCTGACCCCGCCTCACTGCTGTATCCACTCTGCCTCTGCCCCGGCCAGCTCAAGGCCTGGAGTTCCTGATGATCTTAGGGACAGAGTCTTACACCACCCTCCCGATGGTACCCAAGGGCATGTCCTACAACCCATTTAGCCACCTGCTGTTCATCTGGGGCAACTTCCTCCTGCAGAGGTAGGGGCCTGGGCATATCCTGCTTTCCCAGCCCCATCAGGGTGGGGGGCCTTTCTAAAGTCACCAGGTTTTCAGTTTGCCCAAGTCCAGAAGTTATGAGGACTGGGATGGGGAAAACACAGGCTGGGGTGGTGAAGGCTAGGATGGGGGAAGCTATAGGAGCCCTGATGTGAGGGTCCAACCTATGTGAGTGATAGAAGGCATTGTCTGGGGAAGGTGAGGGTGAGGACACTTTTTACCCCTCAGGAACCTAGGGGCCCCTGAACCAACTCCATGAGTTGTTGGCAATGTGCCAGGTTGGCCCAATGCTCCTGTTTACAGATGGACAGGGCACCCATAGGGTTTGGAGTCAGGGGCAGAAGCCAGAATCCCAGGCTTCCTTTGCATGTGCTCACAAAGCTAGTGGAGCAGTGAGCAAACAGCTCTCATGTTGTGTTCAGCCTGGACTGGGGGAAGCAGATACCCTCCAGAGGTCTTACCTGGGCACTCCTAGCTTCCATCTCTGTTCCTGCAGCTATGACAATGAAAACTTCATCTTCCTGGCGGATTTCCCCGTGGAGCTGTCCATCAAGTACCTGGTCAACTCATTCCGTGGGGAAATAGCTATTGTGACAGAGACCGAGGAGGTGGGCTGCCCTGCCTCTCTCCCACTTCCTCTCTGCCCACCCCAAAGCCCAGAGGTCTCCTTTCTTCCCCTGTGAGGGTACAGGAGCCAAAGGGAACACCTCCAGGGACTGTGGGGAAGAGCAGCAGAAGCTCTATTCATAGCTGAGAACCCTGGAACTCAAAGAGGCTAAGTGTCTTTTCCAAAGTCCCTCAGCAGAGTGAAAGGTCTGTGCTCAGAGTTATATGATTGGATTTCCAGAGGCAGCCTCTTTTATTTCATCATGCAGGCATTCCCTTCATAAATATGGGAACACTTACTGGATGCCTGACCCAGTGCTGGGGACACACTGGGCCCTGGGCCCTGCCCTCACAGGGTGACAGGCCAGTTGGGAAGACACATTCACTCCCAGACAGTGACAGTTGAGGGTGGTCAAGCTGTAGCAGGGGCAGTCAGCACCTATGGACATTCAGAGAAGGGGCCTGACCCAGTCTGTGTGTGTGTGTGTGTGTGTGTGTGTGTGTGTGTGTGTGTGTGAGGAATGGCCTCACAGAGGAGGCCACATAGAGGGGGTACATCCTGGAGGCTGAGGCTCATGAGGAGGTGAGGTCCAGAGTCAAATGTGCTGGGGCCATGGGGGGCAATCAGTGCAGAGATGGGAAATTGAGGCCAAGGGGATGGTGATACCGTGGAGAGAGTGAGAAGAAAAAGAGAGAGCTCAGTCCTAGGAATCCCAGCCATTAGGGGGTGTATGTATGAGGAATGCTTAAGATGCAAGTAATAGAAACTCCAGCAGACTGAAACATTGAGGAAACTTATGGCGAGCTGCAGCTGGAAGCAGAGGTAGTGGGTTCTGTGAAGCAGAGAGGTGGCACTATAGAGAGAAGGGATGTGAGCTCACCTGGTCCCAGCTAGAGGCGAACTCCCAAGCCTCACCCCTCAAGGAATGGGGCCATCACACTCAGAAGAGGGAAAGGGGGGTTAGAAGTCCCCATAACTCTCACACATACACCTGGCTGTTGCACCCCCAGATCTGGTTCCTCCTGGAGGGCAGCTATCGGGTGTACAAGCTGTTCCCATCCAGGGGCTGGGAGGCGTACAGCAGGCTAGAACTGATGCACCAGTCCACTCTCTACACCTCCAAGGAGACCATGGTCACTCTCTTCTATGAAGACAGAAATCTGTACCAGGTGGCAGGCAGGGGCTGTGGGGAGACTGGGAGGGGGGAGTGCAGGTTGTTTGACACCAACTCACCTGGCCCTGCCTTCCTCCTGCAGCTGGTATACCTTGAAAACAACCCTCGGGGCGAGCTTGTCAAGAGGCTTGTGCCTGTGGAGCACATTTTGATGTACCATCAGCTCAGCAGCCCCATAGTCTTGCAGCAGGAAGAGTAAGAAGATACGGGATGGACCACAGCAGTAGTCCAAGAGCCCCAAACAATTCCCACACAGAGCTCCCATTCCAGAGGGGGTGGGACAGAGACCAAGTCATCCCCAACTGACAACCTCAGGGCCATGATGGGGGAGGTCAAGGTATATGAAAGCACAAAGGAGGGGCCCAACCCAGTCTGGGGGGAGGAAGCATCAGGGAGGGCTTCAAGGAGGAAGAGGTGCATGAGCTGTGTGTGACCTGTTAGGAAGGATTGGCCAGGTAATAAGATGGAGAAAGGTATTCCAAACCGGGGAACCATGTGTGCAAAGGCCCTGCAGAGGGAAGGAGGTTGGGTGTTTGAGAACTGAGAGAAAGTTTAGTGCAGACACAGTGCATGGTGGTGGCAGGGCAAACAAGGTGAGCCAATGGGCATAGGAAGACCTTACACTTCATCTTGAGGGTCCTGGGGAGCCATGATGGGATTAAGGGGAGGGACTGTCTGGTCAGATTTTATTGTGTTTAATAATAATCCTCCGGGTCACCTTTGGAGGAGCCCAGGAAGGGGTGGGGGGTGGGGAAAAGGGAGGTGGAAGGACTCTTAGGAAGGGGAAGAGAGTCTAGGATGAGGTCCAAGGCTTTGGCCTGAGGGACCCAGGGACTTCCCGGGGAATGTGTCCAGGGGCACCAGGGGCTGAGGCTGAGAAGGAAGGGCAGGATTGGATTAGATTTGGGAATCAGCAGTGCAGGGGTGGGAAACAGGCCTGTGGAGGCTCTTGGGGCCCCTGGCACAGGAAAGTAAGCCGCTATCCCCCACTACCACCGCCCAGGGATCACGTGGAGCTCTCCTTCATCAACTTCTGCCCCTTCACGAAGATGCATCTGCAGAACCTGCCCAAACAGCAGATCTACTCGCGCCAGGAGCGCTACAGGGTGCGGCCGCCACGTGTCCTGCATCACTCCGCCTTCCACAGCCAGAACTCACTCGCCATCTATCAGGGCCTCGTCTACTACCTGCTTTGGCTGCACTCCAAGTACGACAAGGTGGGCACCTGGTGGCAGGGGGCTGTCCCAGGCTGGGCCTTGTCTGAGATGGAACTGCGGAGGCACGGAAGGCGAGGCCTGTGGGGCTGGAGGGACGGGCCGCGGAG